ATTTTGAAACTTTAGGGGTCTAAGAGTTAATAATTCAGAACTTTAGGGGTCAAAAAATAATTATCCAGAACTTTAAGGGTCAATAATTAATTATTGAAAATTTTAGGAGTCAAAAGTTAATTATTCAAAAACTTTAGGGATCCAAAATTAACAAAACTTTAGGGGCCAATTTAAACCAATTATGAACTTTTAGGGTCTTAAACTCGAAACTTTAAAAGGCCCAATATGATGAATTATGACCTTAGGAGGCTGAATTACCAAAGTTTTAAATTCAAGGGGCTGAAACATTAAAAACTCAACCCTAATTTGAAATTGCAAACAATGGCCACAATTTATCTAATTTACAACACATATCACTGCTTTCAAAATTCACAAAACCTAATTTTTTTTATAGAAACCGGAATCAGCACTCGCCTACGCCTGGCACCCCTACTGCAGTGACGAGCAGCAACTTCGACTGCTACATCCAACGGAAGAGCCGGTTTCAGCCGCCGTGGTGCCCCAAATAAAAAAAAAACAGAACTGAAATTTCTGAATTCGTTGAAAAACCAACCGAATGATATTCAAATTTAACAAAGCTAAATCCGAAATTGCTAAATTTGAAAATAATGAAATTATTACAATAATCAAATAAAAATTTCGATTCTCAATGATTCAACATGAATTGGCTTTGATACCACTTGTTGGGAAAATATGCTTTATTGTCATATGACTCGTTCAAGTTGGATCATCAAGAATATGTAAACCGAAAGCGAAAACATACATGAATCAGACATGATTAACACGATGAATGAATCCTGCGGTTTTAGTCTTCCTAATCAATACGTTGTTAATTTATTTCTCTCTGATGATCCAGGGACCATAACTATATATTTATACTAACGGCCCGTTGACCTAATTCGGCCTATCATGAAATTATGAACAAATCTGGTCTCTACACATATAAGTCCATACTTTAATTAGATGCTTTAAACCCAAGACACCAAAATCTTATTAGATCACTTTAAATGGGTATAACCGAAATTGATAGCCTTTAATTTAATACACAATATTTCACATATAAACCCTCATGTTTGATTAAAAATCCTTACATGGGAGACATGGTCCACGTCTAGCGTAGANAAGCCCACATGTTCGATTAAAATCCTTACAAAAAGTTCTATTATTGAAATAATAGTTGAATGCTGTATTTTGATCATCATCATCCCGATTTCATTTTCATGGGTTAGTTTGGTAATTAACAAATATAATATGTTCTTCCGCATGTATGTAATCTGTCTATCTTCATTATTTTCAAGCTTTTAGTTTTATTGCTATGTTGTTCTTCGTTCTTAGGTGGAGAGATTTAGTTTCTAGTCATATATCCATGCCTCCAAAGCATGCTAGGTTGGCCATTATGTAAGATGTATATTTATTTATACTGATTTTACTTGTACATTCTTGTGCAGTGTCTTTATTGGGCTAATTAAGGTGAAGTGGATTGTAGGTAGAAAAATTCTCTCGAGATATGTTTCCTCAACATAATAGATTGAGAAGAAGGGAGAACAGATTGTGACTGAACGATAATGAAGCCTTTATAGTTTCTTAATCTCATTTTGAC